AAAAAAAAAGAAAAGCATCACACATGGGCCAGGTAGAGAAAGAAAATAGGGGCTTGTGCTAGAAAGTGGCAGGTCAGCTGCCATAGACTGGTGGCCAGAAAGGCCTCTTAGCAGTTATAAATTCCCACAATCCTGCTGAGTAACAGATCAGCCCAGAAATGAGTGATTTAAACCACCCACCCTGATTACACGTGGGACTGTGTGAGCCAGCAGCTTAAGCCAGGTTCGGCTGGGCGGCTCTGGTCCTGGTGGGCCCATTTGTGTGTTGGAGCCAGCAGGGCTCTCTGCTCAGGAGCATGGCTAGCTGTCAGCTGAGGTGACAGGGAGCTGCTGGGCCGTGGCTCTTTGGTCAGAGAGAAAGAGGAGCTCCACAAGGTCTCTTGAGGCCCAGGCTTGGCAAGGCACACGCTATTCCTGCTCCATCTGACTGACCATGGCAAATCCCAAGGTCAGCCTACACTTAAGGGAAGAGAAAATAGACACTACCCTTCATGGGAAGAGCTGCAAAGTCCCATCGCAAAGGGGAATGAGTGCAGCCATTTTTACAAAAAAACTACCCCTGAGGAGGTGGCATTGAAGCTGGGAAGAGCGAGTCTGGGGAAGGAGGGTGAGGTTCACTGGGTCAGAGGCTGCTGGAGGGGCCAGTTGGGTGCGACTAGAGAAATGACCTTTGGACTTTACGCCAGAAGGATTGGCATTAACTTGGACAAACATGGATTGAGGGGGCAGAAACTTGACTGGGAGAGGTATGGGGAGAGGAAGAGGGAGAGATGGAGACCACATCTGTGGACGCCCGGCTCACCAATCCTTGAGTGTATGCAGATTGTGGAGAGGGGCCTGGAAACAGATATTTTAGCAAGACTCACAGGTGACTCCATGTGGGAGCCACAGTCTTGGAGGGCAGCCACTAAGATGGGTGGCCAGGGAAGGGAAGGGGGCCTACCTACCCCAGATCAAGTCTTCACTGCCTTCTAGGCCTCGGGCAGGCAGGACGTCTTCATTACAAGAGGCTGAAACCCAGCTCAAATAGCATCAGTAACAAGGGCAGATACATGGGCTTAGCTGACTGCAGAGTCAAGGGCCGTCCCCCTTTCGGGCAGGATTTGAGCCAGAGCCTCAAACAGCCTCTCTCCCTGGCTGTCTCTCTGCTCTAGTTTGGCAGCAATCCACAGAGAGGCCATCCCACAGGTGAGACTCTTGGCTGCCGAGGGTTTCAGCCCATGTCCACAAATTCACATCCATAGGTTAAGATCTCAAGGCAGGCCCCAATTTGCTACTACTACCTATGTCACAGACCCACCTCTGGGACTGATCAGTGGACAGGGCTGGGTGCTGTGACTGGCCAGGCTTGGCGCTCTGATGACAGAGTCTAGCAAAGGGGACAAGTAGACAAAGTTCAGGGACCCAGTGGAAAGAGCCACACTGGATTCACACACACACAGAGAGAGGGAATATACCACGTATATCTCACTGTTTTCACTAAGCTGTCCCCACCCAACAGCTTTTGTGCTTTCCCGGGACTGTGCCTGTGTTATCCTCCTGTCTGGGGCCCTGGCCTCCACTTCTCTGAGTGCCCATCCGTTATTTAAGGCCCACATTAAATACCACCATCCATTCCAGGGGCAGGACAGCAGTATTCAAATGCCTGGGGTTTTAGGACCAGTCCCTAAAGCTGAGCTTTCTGACCCCAAAGACCTCAGACAGCATCCTTGGGCTCAGTGAGGCAAGAAGACCCACCTGCCTCGTAACAGCCGCCCTATGACTGCTGGGCTCCCTCCTCCAGCTCTGATCCCAGCCTGGGCTGTTCTGTCCCAGACTGCCACAACTAAGTCACAGCCTGGGTGGTCCCCAGCCTGGTGGTTTCAGTAACAGAAATTTGTCATGTCACAGTTCTGGAGGCCCGAGATCACGGTACAGGCAGGGTTGGTTCCTACCGAGGGATTTGAAGGAGGACCCGTCCCAAGCCTCACTCCTTGGCTGGTAAATGGCGTCTTGCTGTTTACCTGGCGTTTCCCTTCTGCATATGTCTGTTCTGTCTAAATATCCTTTCCATCTAAGGACACAGTCATGTAGGATTAGGGCCTACACTAACTTAATTACCTCTGTAAAGACCTATCTCTATATCCCCTTCTGAGGTCCTGGGGGTTAGAAGGTCAATGTAGGAATGTTGGAGGCCCAGAACAAAGTCCAAGGCTGGACACTGGATGCAGAAGACCAAACCCCTGGGCTTGCCCAGGCCCCAGGGTGGGTGGGCACAGTGAGGGCATGTGTTGGGGGTGGGTTCCAGGCTCCAGACTCACCCTCTCCCTCCTTTCTCCTCCAGCTCTGATGCAGAGTCCGACTATGGCAGCAGCGAGGACACCGGTGCAGAGCCCTGTGAGGAGTGGCCCCAGCAGCCAGAATCCCCACCTCTGCCACAGCCCCTCACCCGGCACATCTCTCTGAGGGAGACCCTGACCCGGGCAGCCTCTCCACAGTGTCCTGAGGAGCCCACAGGTGTGCATGGTGAGCAGAGAGCCCAGCATGCTTGATTCTGGGATGGTGGAGCAGGGAGCTGAGACCTCAGAGCCAGATTTTTTCTGTGTGGAGGACCGAGGGACAGTGAGACTTGCCCTGGGTTTAGACGTAGTGGGACTGGGATCTTGGGGAGTGTGACGCAGGTGCAGGTGAGGAGACTGGGCCCAGGTCTGGCACCTTTCTCTATGGGAAGCTTCAGGACCCCATGTGGGAAGACATCACGGGGCCTGGCTGCTCTCTTGTGTCACAGACCAGTAAAGATAAGGGCCCCAGGGCTCGCTTGCCTCCAGTGTGGGTGTGGACTTAGGGGCCCTCCAGTGTTCCACAGCCCCTGAGGGAAAGCAGGGGCCCCGGATGCTGTTGCATACATTTGGCCCTGAGTGGTATTGCCTTCCTGGACCCTGGGCAGGTGCCCCACAGGGCAGGATTACTGGAGCGGAGGGCTGGTGGGCTGCACCCAAACTTTACCCACACAGTAAGCAATGCACTTTCACTGAGTACCTGTAATGGGACTTGTCCCATACGGGCCTGTGTCCTCCCCAGGACGACCCTGTGAGGCAAGTGTGAAGCCTGTTCTGCAGGGGAGCACTCTGACTGCTGTCCTGGAGCCTCACAGTCAGTCAGTGGCATGGCCAGTGCTGGGTGACTCCACTCCCTTAGCTCTGGCCTAGTTTGAAATAGTTGTCTTTAGCAACTAGAGACCAAATTTTCTAACTTCTGGGCAATTTCTGGGAGAGCCTGGGAAGAAAGAGGCTGAACTGTGCCACTGCCAGTCCAGAGCCTCTGCAGGCTGGGAGAGCTGGGGCTCAGCTTGTCCTGAGCCGCCCTCTGCTGGCCAAGAGCAGAATTGCCCCCTGGACTAGGGTGGGAGCTGGAAAGAACTCATAGATGTTTTTAAATCCTGGAAACTCTGAATTTATCCTCCTGAGTCAGCCTTTTTATTGAATTTTTTTTTTTAAGGACAAACTGCTAAATACCATTTGTGTGGCTATCCAGAAAGGCTTGGTACTGGCAATGGGCAGAGTACGGGCCTATGCCTAGCTGAGTCTGGCCCCGACCGTGGTTACGGCTTGGCCTTGATGCCTCTTTCCATCTCGCCAGGCTGCAGCCCCCTAATTTATAGAGACGAAACCTGCCTGGCTTTCATCCCTTTCCTCCATTTCTCCTCTCTCCCCAGTCACCAGGGGATTTCAGGCAACTTATAAGAAAGGCAGATCAAAATTGCGTGTCCATATGTCTGAACAATCAAGCCTCAGAATCAGGTTAACAAAACCTGTTTAAGGAAGTCTAGACCCCAGAGAGGCAGACCATAGTCCTACACTGTTGCTCTTATTGAATTATAAGATTAATTCTGGATTTTCTGCAGCTAATGTTAAAAAAGGAAACACAGACAATTATTGTTATTAATCTAAGGAAAAAATATATGGGTTTACAGCAAGGTCTCAGAGCAGGTACTAATGCTTAACTCTACAGAAGGTTTCCAGCTCATCTCAATTACATGATATGAGAAATGTATTAGATTGTGTCATAAACAGCTCCTCAGAAAATGTAGCCATAGTTTTCTCAAGGTGGTTTCTTGTATAATCTGACTGGTAAGGGCAGGACAACAAAACATACCTCACTGAAAGAAGTTCTCCTGCCAACTAAGGCAGTGTGGCCAAAGCCACTCATTCTGACAGTCCAGTTTAACTCTAGGATAAAACAGCAAGTAGAGAAGTGAACAGAATGCATGACTTTCAAACAATTATTTTTGGAGACAGGATCTTGCTCTTTTGCCCCAGCTAAAGTGCAGTAGTGTCATCATAGCTCACTGCAACTTTAAACTCCTGGGATCAAGCCATCCTCCTGCCTCAGCCTCCAGAGTAGCTAGGACCACAAGCACGTGCCACCATGGCCGGCTCATTTTTTCAGCTTTTTGTACAGACTGTCTCTTTACATGCTCAGCCTGGTCTTGAATTCCTCAGTCATCTTCCTAAGTAAGTGAGACTACAGGCACATGCCACCATGCCCAGCTAATTTTTCTATTTTTTGTAAAGACAGGGTTTCACTCTTGCCCATGCTGGGCTTGAACTTCTGGCCTCAAGTGATCCTCCCACCTCCATGCTGGGATTACATGCATGCTCAGCTGGGCTCAGACAATTTTGTACTGACTTGGTCTTCATCACTCATTGCTTCAGTCATTGATAGGCAGATCGTGCTGTGAGGTTAAAGCTCTGACCCAGGTCTTAATGCCTATAAACTTTGTGTCACTGGTTATGGAGCCCCCTCACCATACCAGATAATGCAGGGTGTGTGGGTGTTACACAGCTTCATTAGCCACAATTCTCACCCAGATAAATGCCTCCAAGGTGAGCCAAGAGAAGGCTGGACAAGACCAGGATAAATTGCTTTAAAAGGACTCCTGGTTAGCACAGTCATGCTCATAGAAGCATGATGTACATTAGTCAAAATGCAATGAACAAACTGAATGGATCAACAGAATGTAGAATATAGTGTATTCATTCTGTGAAGTGTTATTCAGCCTCGAAACGAAAGCAGCTTTTGACACGGGGCTACAATATAGATCAACCTTGAGGACACTATACTAAGGGCCACAAGCCCATCATAGGAAGTGGCACCATATGATGCTACTTACTGTGTCTGCCCGAAAATAAGACACTGTCTTATATTTATTGTTTCTCAAGAAGACACACTAGGGCTTATTTTCAGGGGATGTCTTAGTTTTATTAAGTATAATACAACAATCTACATTTTTCAAATATAGTTAAGTCATCTTCTGGAACCTGACCGGGGGAGCCAACCTTGTTGGTGGGGCTGGCGCTAGTGATGCGTGAACTCCTTTCCCCTAGCCATTTGCATGTGCGCAATAGGATGCCTGCAACCGTGGTTACCACACACGCACCTGTGCAAGTGTGAGTGGCTCGGAGAAAGGAGCTGTGGCAGATAAAAGGTATTCCAGTCTTCCTCACCACTCAGTGTATCAGTATATCTGCTGCATAGCCACACCCATCACTAGGTCTTATTACCAGGGTAGGGCTTATATTTAACAAATGCATAGAAATCCTGCTAAGGCTTATTTTGGGGGGTAGGTCTTATTTTCGGGGAAACACGGTACCTGAGGCCCCTAGAGTCATCTTCATAAAGGCAGAAAGTAGAATGGTGATTGCCAGGGACCAGGGGAAGGAAGAAAGGAGGAAATGGTTTAATGAGTAGAGAGTTTCGGTTTGGGAGAAGGAAAAAGCCCTGGAGATGGATGGTGGTGATGGCTGCATGGTAATGGGAATATACCGAACACTACTGAACTCAGAAATGTTTCAGATGATAATTTTTAGGTTAGGTACATTTCCCACACTTTGAAAGAAGACTTCCAGGACTGCCTTAGTGTGTTAAGGAACAAGTCATATCCTGAAAGTTCACAGAGTGTGCCCAAGGTGGCGTTATGAAACATAGCATACACCCTGCATCATTGAGGCTATAAAAAACATTTCCCTAAAACACCTGGTGATTTTTTCTTTTTTATTTTTTTGAGATGGAGTCTCACTCCCTCACCCTGAGTAGAGTGCTGCGGCATCATAGCTCACAGCAACCTCAAATTCTTGGGCTTAAGCAATCCTCTAGCCTCAGCCTCCTAAATAGCTAAGACTATAGGCACCTGCCATGATGCCCAGCTAGTTTTTCTATTTTTAGTAGGGAGAGGGTCTCCCTCTTGCTCAGGCTGGTCTCAGACTCCTAAGTTCAAGGGATGTACCTGTCTCAGCCTCCTAGAGTGCTAAGATTACAGGCATAAGCCACCACACCCAGCCTGGTTTGGTGATTTTTTAAAAATCTTGGGTAAAAAGCCAATTCCCAGGTTCTCATCTTCAGAAATTCAGATTCCTGGGATCTGAAGTGAGGCCAAGTATCTGCATCGTGTGTGAGCATATCCCTGGGTGCTTCGACACAGTGGGCCATGCCCTGCACTATGGAACTCTCAAAAGCAATCTGAGTCACGGCACCAAAAAAAAAAAAAAAGAAAGAAAGAAATCTCAAAAGCACACCTCTGTGGAGGGCCTGCCTAGATGAGTTAGGTATAAAATGCATGCCCACGCCTCCAAATGAATTGGATTTTCAGCTGTAAACTCATTAGATTTAGGAGGACAATCTGCCCTCAAATTATTCTGGCTAGGACAAATTGGTATTGGAATTTCTGACAATAATTTAATAATAGGCTGGTCCAATGGCAGGTGTCCTCAAGTCTGTCACAATAAAGCCTTATTACAGGCATCTTCAAACTACGGCCTGTGGGCCACATGCGGCCCACCGAGGACATTTATCTGGCCCGCCAAGTGTTTTTGCCACTGCTGCCTGTCCTGCTTAGCAGCTGACTCATCCTGGGGCCCGCAGTCCTGCCCTCCGACGGTCTGAGGGACAGTGAACTGGCCCCCTGTTTAAAAAGTTTGAGGACCCCTGCCCTATCAGCAGCAGCACATGGCAGAACGCTCACCCCGTGACTATGGTTTTATAGCAGTTCCATACGCAGATCCCTGCAAGTGCTCCTTGAAAATAAATATAAATTAAGGACACATCAAATATAAACTAAAAAGAAAGGAAACAGTCCCACTTTTGCTGCTCAGAATTACCATATGAAATCACTTCCCAGAATCACATTTAGGATCTAGAAAAAAAGAAATCATTACTAGGCATCCTATTGTTCTGCTCCCATTGTGGTAAAAATGTACGTAAACAGCCGTGACTGAAGATGTCTCGGGAGCTTTAGTCATTTCTCATAGGTCCCATTCTACAAAGTTAAATGGTTAATTCTAGCCAGCAGGATGTGGCTGGGCTTAAAGCCTGCTTGCTGCCTAGGCAGAATACCCAGGCTGGAAAGCCCAGCTGGGCCTGCACTGCCATGGGGAGACTGCATGCTCCCGCACAGGCTCAACCCTGGGAACAGGCCTGGGACGGGGGACGGGACGGGGGACCTGCGGGCAGAGCAGGCACAGTGTGTCTCCACGTGGAGAAAGGAAGGAGAAGAATCAAAAGGCCACAGAACGGACCAGGCCAGAATCAAAAGGCCACAGGACTTGAGAAAAGAAAGCCCAGCTTCAAGGAAAGCTGTGGCCCTGCTCTGAGACCTGGCAGGGGGCAGGATATCCAGGACTGTTTCGAGAGAGAAAGGGAGAGGGGGCTGGGCCAGCCAGAGCTTCACCTCAGGGAGTTTGGTGTTTAGAACTCCCCTACTTCCATTCTCCCTCATCCACACCCCTCCTGCAAGTTTTCTCTCCTTCACACCGCCCCGCCCCTGCTGTGTGAGCACTCTGAGGGGCCTCGTCCCCATTCTGTCTCTAGTAAGGTGACCAGATGTCCCGCTTTTGGCGGGACAGTCCTGATTTCGAACAATTTGTCCTGTGTCCCACGGCGTTTTTAAAAAGTCCCGATTTTGGCTCGGCGCCTATAGCTCAACCGGCTAAGGCGTCAGCCACGTACACCTAAGGTGGCGGGTTCGAATCCCCAGCCCGGACCCGCCAAACAACAATGACGGCTGCAACCAAAAAATAGCCGGGCGTT